TTGTAAGCCGCCCTGAGTCCCCTCAGGGAAAAGGGCGGCCTATAAATCTTAATAAAATGACTAAAAAAAAAAAATGCATAAGGTGTCCATCATAAATCCTGGAACACCCCAGGATAGAGCCAATTACCTGGCTTGGCCTTAGGAAATTGATATTGATGTTGGGGTATCGAGTGACAGGATCAATGCTGTATTGGCTGAAGTTCTTGCTGACATTTTCTGGCGTAGTTTGAGGCAACAACCTATAGATGCTCTCTCTAGGAAAAAACAGGACAATGGTGCAAGCTTCAGTGATATAAAAGACATTGATAGACATGACTTTACTACTTAGAGCAAAATGACTATATTCTACTGAGTGGATGGTATGTACCATGGCAGTGGTGGCTAACCTTTTCTGGACTGACTGTCCAAATGCATGCGCACACACCCAAACCCCACAAAAGCAATGCCTGCATGAACCCCGTGCATATGCCCCACCCCTGCATGCATGTACCCCTGCCACGCTACGCCCCTGTGCATGCGCCCCCCTTCCACGCATGCGTGACAGAGACCCAACAACCAGCCAGTCAGTGGGAGGTGCGCACATATGTGCCGTGAACTTAAAGTAGGGCAACAGCTTGCGTACCCACAGAGAGGGGTCTGTATGCTAACTGTGGTACGCACGCCAAAGGTTCGCTATCACGGTACTATGGTGTCTCAACTGCAGGTAGTCCTCGACTTACAACCATTAATTTAGTGGTCATTCGAGGTTAAAAACGGTGCTGGAAAAAAGTGACTTAGGACCGCTTTTCACATTTAACAACCATTACAGCATCCCCAAAGCCACATGATCCAAATTTGGATGCTTGGCAACTGGTTCATATTTATGATGGTTCCAGTGTCCCAGAGTCACCTTGTGCAACTTTCTGACAAGCAAAATCAATGGGGAAATCCAGATTCACTCAACAGCTTTAACAACTGGAGTGGTTCATTTAACAACTGTGGTAAGAAAGTTCATTAAATGGGGCAAAACACACTTAGCAAATGTTCTTGCTTAGCAAAAGAAATTTGAAGCTCAATTGTGGTCTTAAAGCAAGGACTACCCGTCTTTCTGTGAAATGGTTATACTTTTCTGCATCTAGAATAATTGCCTGATCCATACCCAAACAGCTTGACGCTAGCATTTATACCCATGATGGCGAACCTATGGCACGTGTGTCACAGGTGGCAAGCAGAGCCATTTCTGAGGACACGCAAGGCATTGCCCTGTCAGGTGCAGCGCGCATGCGTGTGCTGGCCAGCTGATTTTTGGGCTTGATTTTCGGCCATTTTTTCAGGAGGCTTCCCTGATGCCTCCAGAGGGAGAAAAATGGCCCAACGGGTCATTCTTGAACTTCCGGTTTACGCATTGGGCTATTTTTCGCCTTCCGGAAGCTTCAGGGCAACCTGGAAGGCAGTTCCTGAACTTCCAGTTTGTGTGTTGGGCCGTTTTTCACCATCCCCAGGCTCCTAGAAAGCCTCTGGAGCCTGGGGAGGGCGAAAAACAGACCTACTGGGCCCAGCGGAAGTCGGAAAACAGGCCATTTGTAGCCTCCGGAGGGCCTTGGGGGGGGGGGAGGCTGTTTTCGCCCTCCCCAGGCTCCAGGAAAGCCATGTGCAGGGGAAACAGCACAGGGGAGCATTACATTATGGCGGTGGGCACACGAACATGTGTGATAGCGCGCAAGTGTGCTTTTGGCAACTGAAGCAAAAAAGGTTCGCCATCACTGATTTATACTTTCAAATGAATGAAACAGGGCCCTTTCCGAGTCTTCCATATTGCAATAAACAGCTGCTTGGTTGGGTAAGCAGAAGAAGAAACTTCTCTTCAGAAGCAGGAATAAATAGAGAAGAAGTCATTTTGATTATGGTCTTAATTTCCAGTTCTCTTGAGCTAGGCTTCACTGACTATCAGCGAAGTACATACCAACGGAATTTTCGCCTTGCAAAGATAAGCAAAGTGGCATCTGACAAACTGCATATTTCATGCAGTTTTCAAACCAGGACAATGCTTGGCCTGTTGAGAGGATCCAAATGCAATGAGAAAACTCAGAAAGGTGAGTGAGGCTTCACTGGGATATTTAAGGGAGTTAAACAAGAGAAGAAGATTAATGAGCATTGTGTTGTTAATTCTTCCATGAGGCGAAAATTAAAGGGAGCAGGAAATAATTAATACTTAGCAACAGGACATCTATTTAATTTGTTCCAGGTTTTTGTACTGCCATCATTTTTACACATTTTACCATCTCCCCCCAATGTACAAAAAGGGAAGCTAATAATGCTTTTGTTTAATGAAAGAAAAATGCATATTGGAAAAGAACAGTTTTTAACTACACTACTGCTTAGCACTTTTTAAGATAGTTAAGTATACTGTATAATAGCTCATTTTCAAATGATCAGTTCCTGTAATTCTAAAAGGATGGTGTATTCAATGCCATTCTAACAATGCCACTTAAATGCAGGTTTCACTTATTTCATTCCATCCTAACCCCTATGAACTGCCTCCTTGATTATAATGTCATATAATTTTCTGGATCAATCTGCCTCGACAAATCTTCCGCGTCCTTTTTACATGTCTCACTCAGTTAAATAATTCACTAAAATTATTAAAAAGACACTTTTAAAAATCACCAAACAAAGGGAGACTTACTTTTGTATTGTATACACACAAAACTAAGCTAAAGGGGTTGAATAATTTGTGGTTCATATGTTGTAGTAACCCAAACATTGCTTTGCAAATTGTGTGAAACAACTATGACATTAAACTTTATATTGGGGCTTAGTGTGTTATGTGAAGGTAACAATCGTGGTTATTTAACCTGAATTTTGGGCTTAAGAATGTTGCCAATTAGAAGCATAATGAGGCAACTTTCTCTCTGCCCCCCTAATTATGTTCAGATACTTCAGTTTAAGCCATCTGTTACCCCATGCACGAAGAGAAAAGTGTGTTTCTTTCTTGCTATGCTACTGTAGCAGAACACAGAAAATGACAAATATCTCTGGATAACACATTGACTAGGGACAAATAGGCAGGCACAGAATGGACATACAGGAAGATGCTAATAAATGCACACACACTGCATATTAATGAGCCTGAACTTGCATACTCTTAGACATACATTTTAATAGTAGATAAATTTCCTGCTTATGACAGCATACACATGCACGTATAAATATGCATACAGAGAAACAAGCATTTCCTTACCTTTCTGCAAGGACCTCCAAAGGACCTGTTCCTAATGACCAGCTTCGTACCATCCATGCAGAGTCCATGGCAGCAAGAAAGCCTCTGGCTATTCCAGTTCCCATTGGCCAAAATGGCTGGAAGCAACCATAAAAAGAGATTGGGAGGAATAAGAGAAGGGCAGATACAGTATATTCCATGGGAAACCATGGCTGAGACACTTCCTTTGTAAATACACTGCAAAGCTACTTTAAAACTCCAAGGGAGCACCTGTAGGACAAGATCTGATGGGACTGCTAGAGATCATTCAAAGTCCTAGAACAAAGTCCTAGAAAAGAAAAATACCTTTTTGGTATTGCGTGCCAAAAGCGGGGGGAGAACACGGGGGTTGTCCATGGGTGTGCCCATACCCATAATTCTATGTCTGCAACTCCCCTCCAGAGAGAGAAAAACGGCCCAACACGCAAACCGGAAGTCCATTCCCGAACTTCTGGTTTACATATTGGGTTATTTTTCACCCTCCGGGAAGCCTCAAGGAAGCCTCCGGAGGGTGAAAAACGGCTGAAGATGAAGGCCAAAGTCAACTGGCCAGCACGCGCATGCATGCTGGAACTGACAGGGCAACGCCTTGCGTGCCCTAACAAATGGCTCCACGTGCCAACTGTGGCACACATGCCATAGGTTCACCATCACAGTCCTAGAATAATTTCTTGAAGTCCAATATAACATTGTGAACAACCTTGTTTAATGCCAAATTAAAGACTCTATATAACCATGTTCTTCATACCCCAATGGGGTATCAAGTAGAGGACTACTTCTAATGGGGCCTTGTGTCCTAATGGGCCCTGTGTTTAAAATGTCAGAAATTCATGTCACTTTTTCATGTCACTCCTTTTTACGTTGAAATCAGAGTTACAATAAAACTCATTTATTCTGAAAACAACAATGATTCTAATCTCTACTGAAATTTTCGTATTGCATTTCTGTTCATCTTCAGAGATATCTGTGACTCCGAAAAGTATAAATATGCCCTCAATATATAACAATGAAATCACCTTAGATATGCACATGTGCTACTCATTTAATGTTTGAGGACCTTACCATTATTCACTAAACATATAATATACAAGTAGTTCTCAACTTATGACCTTTCATTAATTATGGTTTAAAGTTACAATGGCCTTGTAAACATTGCTTCACAACCTGTACTTGCACTTAAAACTGTTGTACCACCCCAGTGGCACAAAAAAAACCAACAGCTTAGTGTATTCACTGAGGGAAGCTGGATTTTAATAACCATAAGAGTCATTTAACAATCATAACAATTGTCATAAAATTGGGTCTGATCACGTCGTGACTTGACTTACAACCACACCAACTTACAAGTGAAATTCAGTCCCAATTCTGGTCACAAGTCAAAGACTACTTGTATTTCTTGGGCAAAGAAGATTTTAGAGAAGCAAAATGACTAAGCTAGACACACAGAAGAATAATTAAAATGATCTTTCTATTCATAAGTGAGTAGCTAGGCTGTTGGAATCTATCTCTAAATTCACTTTCATTTCCCTTCCCCCCCTTAAAAACATTATTTTCATTATTTTCTACATTTTTAAAATCCTAGACTGGACAACTTGAATGAAACTCAAGTTTGCTTCCATTTTAAGTCCTTCAGCAAATGATCTACCCATTTCTACTCAGGGGGAAACACCCTATATCAGTGATGGTGAACCTTTTCGGCACCAAGTGCCAAAAAGGGAGTGTGCACGCACTCGTCTCAGCCGTAAAAAGGAACCATGCGCGCCCGACAATCAGCTGGCCAGTTTGCGGGCGCATGCCAGAAAACAGAAGACTTGCTCTTCCTCTTTCCCGCACTGCCACATGCATGAAGATCAGCTGATCATCGCACGCGCATGCACGCCAGAAACCCAGAAGAGAAAGGGAGACGCCACACGTGCCAAGCGACATGGCTCCGTGTGCCACTTCTGGCATGCGTGCCTTAGATTCGCCATCACGGCCCTATATGATGGTACTTTGAAATGGTGTCCACCATTTTAGCCTACAGCAGGATTGTCAAACTGGCAGGCCATGGGACAGATACGTTACATGCAGGCCACGCCCACCCCAGATCTGCGATGGGAAAAAACATTGTGAAACGTCACGTGACGGCAACGTGACGTGGCGAGTTTGACACCCGTGGCCCTTAAATATTAAAAGAAAATTAAAAAAGGAAATCGAACAAGAAGAAAGAAATGGTTCAAGGAAGACATAGAGAGAACAAACCTCTAACAAGCTGTCCCCAACCAATGCCACCAGCAACGGGTGGCCATTCAATTCTCGGACCATGGCTGCATTCTCTGAGGCATACATGCACGTGAAGTCAAACATTGCCACATCGGGCTGTCCGTAGTGGTTGATGGCAAAGTTCAGCGATGGCAGCTGCTGATTCGTTGAGAAGTCAGCAGCTTCCCTGGCGTAGCTGAGCAGAGCCTCTTGGTCCACATTCTCCCGTGACAGTAACAGTTCTGTGTCTGCATAATCCTGCCAGGCAAAATAAAAACTACATCAGGGTTCCAGGTAATACACCCATAGCGAACAAAACTCCGAGGCAGGTAAATTCCTCAAAAAACAGTTTTATTGGATATATCAAATTGGCACATTTATAGGGAAAACCGACTCGGAAGGTTCCCGTAGTTTTCATCTAATTAAAAGTAAAAGTTTATACCCCTCCCCAAACAGTCAGTCACATGGTCCAATCAAGGTGCAGCCTGGTTGCCTGGTGACATCACTCCTCCTTTCTCTGACCAGGTGTGAGAATGTCCTTGGTTCCCAAGAGAAAGTATTTTGTTTTGGCTACAACCCCCCCCCCCCCCCCCGCTATCACTATCCTCCCATCCTCAGCTCCAGTGTGGCAACACTGATGCTCTCAATACAGCTTCGGTCAGGTCAGTTTCGGGGTTGACAAACGAACCACGAGCTATGTATTGAAGATACAGTATAGGTAAATTTCCTTCAGGAGAACAGAAAGGTAGATAATTGCCCATTACAATCTGTTCTGAAAGATTATAGGGCAATGAAAACTAATATTATGATCCCCTAACCTTTTTTTAAACAGGTCAATGACCTCCTCACCCAGATATAACTGAGCTTTCAATGAGCAGACTTACGTGTAATATGACTCCTTTGTCCAGCAAGCTCTGTTTTTTGGCAGTCATGACAAAATAGTGGGTATCATCTTTGTAGTAAACAATGTTCTCTAGATCAATGCCTAAAATGGAATCAAGAAAGATCAAGAGTCAAGGAACAGGCTTGTAAATGCTTGAGCCCAAATCAGAAAAATGAGTCAAACTCTGCCACCAATAATAGAAATGCCTATCAACTCAGCATGTTTGTCCACTCAGCTTCAAAAGATCACTTAGAACAGGGGTGTCA